GCTCTATTGCTTATTCAACTCCAAGACTTCTGAAAACAGTTTACGGGTTATCCAGACACGGATGTTAACCTATCGCATGTTCAGATTCTTCAACTTCTGAAAACAGTTTATGGGTTCTCCAGATACGGATGTTAACCTATCGCTTGTTCAGATTCAAGACTTCTGAAAACAGTTTACGGATTCTCCAAACACGGATGTTAATTTATCGCTTGTTCATATGCAACTTTTGAAAACAGTTTACGGATGCTTCCAGATACGGATGTCAATCTATTGCTTATTCAGACCCCCAGTTCAGAGATGTTCCAAAACATGGATATCTTTCTGATACTCACCCACTCACCAATGACATACAGTTCAACAAACATTTCCAGATGGCATCTCCAAGCCCATCCCCCTACCAACAATTTCCAGATGGCATCTCTAAGCCCATCCCCCGACAAGATTCTGTCACATCTCCAGATGGTATCTTTAAGCCCATCTCCAAATGGAATCTTTAAGCCCATTCCCTCAAACTACGCTTTGACGAGTGCAAATTTTTTGGGCACTCTAGTGTCTAATCTCCCTTTACTTTCGAGTCGCGAACGCGAACTTGCCAATCTAACTCTTCAGGTTCAAGAAGATTGAACAGGGGCAACTGTTGTACCCCAAAATTTGCTCTCTCTCTTTTTCACAAGAAATCACAGCTTCAGGCTTTTCCTGATTTTTCAGATTGGCTTAAGAATCGGTCAAACAGACTTTTCTTATCAGTCAAGCAAAATTAGGGTTTCCATTAACTTTTGAATCAGTTCAAGAAGATTGCTAGGGTTTGTTTGAGTTTGGCTCAGGGTTTGATCAGGCGGACGCTTCTTTGAAAATAAATCAAGAATCAGGGTTTGCACGCGCATTTTCAGAAGAATTTGAATCCACAGTGTTTTAATTGGCTGTTACACTGCTTTGACGTTTGCTTAAGATTTCTGCTTGTTTCTCAAGGTCTAAACATCTGGGACATGGGCTGAGGCTTCTGGTTGGAAATTTGCAGTGTTTGGTTTAATCAGTAAAAGGAGAGGCATATGGGCATTTGTTGTGATTGACTGTGCATTGCTATTGTTAATTGGAGCGCCGGGTTTATTATTGGTTAAAGCGAGGTTGCAAGACTACAATGTTTGTTAATTATTTATTTTATCTAAGTTAGAATAATTGGGATTTACTTCCAGTTATTTTAATTCAAGAAAACTTAAATAATTAAATAGACAGTGAAATAAAAGAGATATCTGACAAAAAGACTTTTATTTATTTTTAATTATTGGTACAAGTGTTATTTAAATACAAGTAATTTTATTTACAAGTATTTATAATAATATTTATTACAAATGATTAAAATAAAATAAAAGACTATATCCTAAATGTCTTGAAATCTTTATCTTCTACTGCTACTCATCCTTTGCTCAACTGATTTTTACCTGCAAAAAGAAAAGGAAGAAGTCAAATGCAGATGAATTTAATTAAAAAGGCAGACAGATATTTAAAACTCATCATTAAAAGTGTTGGTCGGAATCAGTTTGTTTGCCCTCTCTGCAAATCACAAGAGGACTCTTGGTTCACAAAGAGGGAAAGGGAAATATGCTTGCAAATGTATGAAATGCACAAAGCTACATGGAAATATACAAGGCTGCATAATTCCAAATTGTCAACCAAAGAGGCAAACTGAACAGCCAAGTGAATATGCCAAAACAAGTTACAAAGTTCAAACTGAAAAACAAGTTGCCCAAGTTACAGTTTCAAACTAAGCAAACTGAATGTCAAAACAAATTGCCCAAAGGAAACTGTCAAAAGCTGTCCAAAGAAGATATATAAAGATATCAAAAGCCAAAAGCTGTCAACAAGTACACAAAAGGCAGAAAATCTGGAAAAGAAGATAAGAGATATGCAGAGTAAAACCAAAATGCAAGCTTATTTCAAATTCATCATTTCCCAGCCAAGCACTTTTTCAGAAAGGTACAGTTTAAAGCAATAAAAAAATGCTTTTTAATCTGTGGAGAGAGAAAGAGAGAGGAGAGAAAGGCTTACAGGCAGACTTAGAAAAAAAGATATAAAAAAAAGTTCAGAACAGAACAAAGGAGGAGGCAGAACAACACACCAGAAAAATATATCACAAAAATAAGATATACCAAAAGCTTGCCTCAAGCCTTGCTAACCTGCCTTTAAACAACAAAAGCCTGTAATCACAAAGACCAGAACAGACATCCTGCATCAAACATCTAACCTTAAGCCTGCATTAAAACACAAGCACAAACATGTGTTCAAAGGGCATAAGACTCAAACCTGTGGTCAACCTGCATAATACAGCAAGCCTCATGCCTGCCTGAACAACAAATCAAATCTTGTTCAGTTTCAAAGCCTGTCTCAAGCCTAAACCTTAAGCCAGTCAAAAAACCAAGCAAACTGATAAACCTCCAGCCTGTTACAAAACAAATTCCAACAAGCTTGCATAATACCAAAGCCTGTCAAAACACAAGCTTGCCTCTAGCCCTGTCAAAGAAAAACATCACTAACCCTAACAATCTTTGTTCAAAATCCAATCCATCCAAATGTCCAAATAACAAAAATGAGTGCCTCAGAACTAGGTTCATCATAGGCGAAGCTAGCTCAGTCTAAAAGAGAGAAAGAGAATCAGAATAAGGAAACATCATCAAGTTATCGGAAGCACAACAATAAGGCAACTCAGAACCAACATATCAACAACAACTGAAGCAACAACATCCTCAGAGCCAAGCTCCTCACAGGATCAAACAAATCAAAGCCAGAAAGCATCCCAGAATAAAAGAGCAAATAAGCAATCAGAGGCAAGCATTTAGAAGAGGAAAAGAAACACTTAAGCTAGGGTTTTCAGTGTTCATTATAAAACCACAAAAGCTAAAAGATACTGAATACTAGAACAAGCTCACAGCATCACGCGTTCCTCGCCTTGGCCGCCTGAGGATGCCTCATGTCCACTCCACTCCTCCGTCTCCAAAAGCCAACAAAGGTATAAAACTCTTCCCTTTCTTTTCCACACCTCACACGGAAATGGATAACATATAAAAATCAATAAAGAGACAAGACATGCAAGAATGGAAATCTGAAAAAACCTAAAAATGCGTTAAGACATAAAACAGAAATCAAACCTTTTCGTGTCGCCGCCTTGCTTGACCATGGAGGGAGGAGGAGATGGACGGTGGCGCCTAGTGGCCATGAGCGGAGGTTTCTTCAGAAAGCATTGCTCAAGAAAGATGAAGAGGACAAAGGTGGAAGAGGCTCCACTCTAAGCCTATGTAAAACTGTAACCCTAATCTGAGTAACAACAAAACAAACCCTTAAAAAATGTCAAACGCGCGTGATGGGCCTGCTCCACTTTCTAAACCCCTAAGCCCAAACTTCTGGCGCTTTACCCCCCCCCCCCCTTCCTTTTTCTTACCTTATTTTTTCTATTTTGTTTCCTTGGGCCAAGAACATTTTTTAAGGCCCATATAACTTGTTATAAAATCAACACTTTTTAATTTCATATCCTAATTCTGTTTTGATTAAATAATACATTAATTTCTTTTTTGTAAAAAACTTACTAATATTGTTTATCACACTTGAAATGTAAATATTAGATTTTTTTATTAGGTTTAAACAATTTTCTCTTTAGAACTTTTTTTTTATTAAAAACTTTTGTATATAAACTAAAATAAATAAGCATTAATTTTTCTTAAACTTAAAACATTTTTCTTTTCTTTTAATTAAAACTTTTGTTCATATAACATTAACAAAAAGCACAAAAAGAATAAATACTTACTTAATTTTGCATTAAGTTAACATCTTGCATCACTTGTAAATAATCACATACACAAATACTTTTGATACATTGCTTTTATTCTTATACATTGCTATATTTTACATTGAGAATACGATTCAATTTGGTTGTAAATATTATTTGGACACTACTATTCTGATAAGTCCCATCCCCATTTGTAAACATTTGTACCCCCATCCCCGGATACTTATCTGTAATAGCTTAGACTTTAAATTCCCGCAATTTATCGCTTTCTATATACAGTATAGTAATTAGGGTTTGTATGCGAAGATTCAAAATCAACCGCTAGATAACCTAATACAAAGACAAATGCATGATAATCAACACACCAATCACACTTGTACCCCTAGGGTAATCTCGTCTGTTGCCTTCCAAAATGGGCCATGTTGCATGTTGAGTGTCTTGGGCAAAACAAAAACAATTCAAATGATCATAGTCCCTCGATGACGCTTTCTCTTGTTGCCTAAACAAAATGATCATAGTCCCTCAAGCAAATTTCCAAAGACACTTGGCACTATTGCATTCATGGTCTAAACGATGACCCGCGCCCGTCCCGTTAACATCCTAATACAAGATTGTCCACCAAATACAATGGTGGAACAATACTGTTAAAAGGGTTAAAACATAGGAATGATCTTTGAGAAATTTAGGGGTAGACAACTCTTAGTTACTTGATCAAACTTGCAAAACACACTTGTCTACTTTCAAAACACACTTCATAAACACAACTTTCAAAACCTTGAAACATCTTTTCAGAAAGACAAACACCTTTTGTAAAACATTCGAGTAAAGAATTGTTACAAGGGTTGCCTAGACAAGGCATCTTTTTCAAAAAAAATTCAAAAACCATACACACACAAACACCATTTCAAGCAATTGAAAATTAAAGGCAAGTGATCTAAAACAAGTAACTAAGAGCCCATGGATAACCATGGATGAAAAGGGTGCTAATACCTTCCCTTTTCATAATCTACCCCCCGAACCCACGAAAACATCTCAAAGGTTTTTCCTGTGCTTTTTAACCTTTCCTTTAGGATAAAATAAAAAGTCGGTGGCGACTCTTGCTAAACCGAACAAGTGCGAAAACAAACGCAAAACCTCAAGTCAGTTCTCCCACCGTATCACACATGGTTTTATTATTCGATTTAATCTACAATGTTTTTATGCTTTTCTGATCGGACCAATTATGATTGAGTTACAATTAACAACCAGATGGACCGCGTTGTTAAGGTTTTTGTGCCTATAGTAGATATCACCTATGACTAGGGATACCCTATAGTTACCGGTTAACCCTTGATAAAACAGAGCCTTGATTTCATCATAATTCTCTAAGGACTTAGGAATTAGGATTGAATGTTCAAAAGTTTTTCCCATTAAGTAGTTAGGGGAAAATAACCCAAAGGGATGGTAATTGAATGATATGAACTTGTTGAATAGATCAGGATTCAAGGTAATTATAGGTAAAATTATACACTTTACCCTAGCATGCACCTCATATTGTTAAGAAGCAAATTTATATTTCTGTTAATGGTTAAGTATAATCTCAAAACCAAAAACGCCAAATATAGCTTTTGTTTAATTGAACGTGAATTGAACTCAATAATTATACACAGTCTTCGAGATCGACATTCGTGGAATTTCCCTATTATTACAAGAGGCAAAAATAGTACACTTGCTATTTTCCCCATCAACGTGTATTCAAATTTCTCGACGACGATTATGATGACTATGATCATAATCATAACTTGAAGTCTATCTTTGTCGTCACTAAGCACTTGTTCTCCGTCACCAACCGACTCCGATTGTCTCTCTCTGTATATGATTCAACACTCCATTTCCTCTCCTGCCTCTTCCACAGATTCACAAACCTCATCTCCTTTGACCTCACTCATTTCCATGGCGACCTCGATGCACTTCTCAGTCAAATCTCTCTTTTCCCATTGAAACTCACTTCACTCAATCTCTCTCACCAACCCATTATTCCCGCTAATGGATTGGGAGCTTTCTCTCAAAACATTACAACTCTAACCTCTCTCATTTGTTCCAACATTACCTTCCTTCACAAGCAACCTCTTGTTCCTCATCGCTGAATGTTTCTCTTTACTCAGGGCTGGTCCCGAGTTTTTGGAGGCCCTAGACAAATATTAAATTTCTTAAATTTTAATTTATTATTATAAAATAAAATTTATTAATATATTACATTTTATCATATAAATTTAAAAATAAATAAATTTATTATATGTTGAACTTTTTAAATATAAAATAAATATAATTTATATAGATTATTTAAAATTTATTTTTAAAAAAATACAAAGGTCAATAAATGCATATATGATTTTTTTAGTTGTATTAATACAATTTTTTAGTATATGATTCTGTTTAGTTATATTAATACAATTTTTTAAAGTTAATGTGCAATTGTTTATAATCTTGCGTACTTACGGTTTTTAAAAAAAGATGACATTGCAGCACTATGATAATTGTGTTTCAATAAAAAAATTGAATTGTAAAATTGTTTTTCACAAGTCTGGAACCTGAGACCATAACTTCACATTCTATACTTTAAAACTGCTAGGCTGCGGCAAGATCATAAATGAATCATAGTACATAGTATTTTTATTATTGGATTATATGTTTGTTCATTATCTATAACTGCTAGGCTGCGGCAACATCATAAATGAATCATAGCACATAGTATTTTTATTACTGGATTATATGTTTTTTAATTATCTATTCTCCCGATTTTTTTAAGCCCTGGACCATGGGCCTGGTTGCCTGGTCCAAGGCCGGCCCTGCCTTTACTCCAACAACTCGACCTCGATCTCTCTGACCCCAATGCAAACATCAATGGTTACTACTACGGTAATAGTAGCTTCCTCCATGGAATTGAGGCTCTTTCATTGTCACTTTTCAATCTCCGCAAGATTAATCTCTCTAGCCATTACTATATCGATGCCTTATTGTCGTCGAATAACAAAAACAGGAGTTTCTTCTGCTCTCAACGAGAAACAATCAACATTGAGGTATTTATCTCTTCCCATCTTACTTACTGCACAAGTCATTGATTCCTTGCTGAGTTTTAAGGGTTTGACTTGTTCTACTATTTCGGATGAACTGCTCACTTCTATTGCAATGGAAGGTCTTCTTTGAAGAGGATTGCCATCGGTTATTGCAAGGGACATAATTATACTGTACTATTTAGTTTGTTATCCAAGTCTCAATCTATCCAACATTTTGATATCCCAAACACCATGTTGCGGACTTGTTTTTATAGCTTGTGGGTTTAGCTTCTGTAAACCTTAGTAATTGTCTGATGATCAAAGTTTCATCCTTGTTTGCACTAGTTAGGAAATGTCCTTCACTTAGTGAGATCATAATGAAACAGATTGGGGTAAGACTGTAGAGAATAATGATTATTTGATGGATTTTGGAGTATACCCTCAATTAAAGTCTCTCAATATGTCTTGCAATTCGTGGTTAGGTGATGAAAGCATCGTAATGTTTGCTTCTGTTTTTCCCAATCTCCACCGGCTTGAGTTGGAATGTTGCTATAAAATATCTGATGAGAGTATTGTTCATGTCTTAAGGAGATGCCGTAACATAAGTCATTTGAATTTAACAATGTCAAACTTGGAGCTACGAGGAATGAACTTGGAAGCTCCCAAGCTAAAGATGTTGGACTTATCATTTTCAAACGTTGATGATATCTCAAACACTTGTTGTGGGCTTTTGCAATTGTTAATAAATGATTGTTTAGGATGCACAGAGAAGGGAGTGAAACATGTGGTAGAAAAATGCACACAACTGAGAGAGATCCATTTGAGAGACTGTTTGAATGTGCGTACGAATGTTGCCGCCTCAGTGCTATTTTTAAGTCCATCATTGAGAAAGATAACTTCTCCTCCTCATATTCATTTCAGTGAAAGTGAGAGGATACTCTTATTGCAACGAGGATGCGTTGTTTGCTGAAGTTTGAACTCTGAAATGTAAGATGTCTTTGTTTTCATATTTATCTGTGTTCTGGATGACTGGGCCATACTTGAATGAGAAATTGTTTTTCTTTTTTACTAGGCGCATAAGAATATGTAATTCATTACTATGTGTTGATTCATAGTTTCCTAATCATTACAGATGCATGTGATTGTTACAAGTCTTTCAGATATTCTCAACATCATTTTCTTTCTTTAACTTTTGTTTTAGAATACCATCATATTGGCCCATAATCTGCATGGTCTGAGCATCTTTTTACACAGGGAATGGTGATGGATGCGTTAGTAGCAGTTGGTGTAATTCAATCTCGTCATTTGAAGTTAGACACAGAGCACATCGAAGAAGCAATGCATAATATTTTAGTTTGTATGGAGATGAAGGTCTCTATTCTAATCTTCAACATTATGCTGTAATATTGTTGCCATAAACTCACCTTCTTGACTGTAATTTTCCTGCTCCACTAATGAAACTTTGCTTTTATTTAATCACTTGGTATATACTATCTAGTCCACGACATTTTGCTTAGGATGATAATTGTTTTCGATTGCGTGTTTAACTGTTTATTGTTTAAATCAATTAAATAATCTATATATAATAAATGTTAGCAATACTTATTTACTCAAACTTGAGTTCATGCACGATTGAATCTAGTCTTCATATTTAGCTATGATAATTGTTTCAATTGCGTGTTTAACGATTAGATCAACTTTTCCTTGATATTAGTTTCTCCTGCTTAAGATATTCATTTTAGAAATGTCCATGTTCTCGGACTCAACAGAAGATGTAAGCAAAGTTAAGCACAAAAACAATTGTTTAAGGTGTCAATACAAAGTGTGTATAAAATGAAATCACTTGATGTTTTTATTATATTCTTAATTTCTTCTTCAGCAAGTATAAAAAAATATCTTTAAACGTTTTGTTCCTGAAAATTCTTTCCTTTTCTTTTCTCAAATTTGGTTATCAAAATAGTGTTATTCTATTCAAGTCTTCCATATTATTATGAGATAATTTTGAACATATATGACTTTCTTAATAAGTTTTGAATATATATGACTTTCTTGATTTGTCAGATGTTAGTGGTCCACTATACAGTTAGAGCACGGTAAATTCATGGTGAATTCTTATCTACCAACTAAAAAAAGTTGGCTAAAATTATCCAACTAACATGTCAAAAGCCAAATGATCCAAGTGTATTTCAACTATTAATTTTAAAATATTAATTTCATATTTTTATGTAATTGCAATTCAATCCTATATTCATTAATGATCTTAACTGCCAAAAAAAATTATGTTCCCAAAGAAATTTACTTCTCTATCACCAGAAATTATTTTTTGTACTTGAATTATTAAATTATATTTGTATCACTTAAATGAAATTAAAAATTAGGACGTAGTTTTAATATTAAAAAAATTAATATACAATCAAATATATCTCTTACGTTACTTTAAAAGTGAGATTTGGTTTTTCTTGTGTTTTGAAGCTTACAATTTTTTATACTGTATTTTTTTTATTTAATATTTTGAGTTTCAAATATTCGATTTTTTATTTGAAGATGTATAAACTTTAATAAAAACGTTTAATTTTTTTTAATTATTACATTATATCTTGAATTTCAAAAGTTTTATTCTCTTATTAAAAGATATTTAAACTTTAATATAAAAAATTAAATTTTAAAAATTGTACTATTTTTATTCCTAACTCATTCTTAAAAAATTATTCTTAAATATAAAATCTCTTGTATTAAAAAAAACATTTTTGAGTAGATCACCAAAAACTTTATTAAAATATTAAATAGATTAACAATTTATATAGTCACACAAGTTTATGATTAAGACATAAAAATACATTATTCATTCACATTCACAAGAATTTTCATAAAAATTGTCCTTCAAAATTCGTAATTATACAATAGAAAAATTTAAGATGAGTTCTTTGGCAACTTTTGCCAAGTGTTACTCATTCATGCAATTTTCTATTTTAGTCTTTTCTTAATTCAGTAACCTTCCTTTTTTAGTCATAATTTAATTATTTTATTTTATTTTTAATGGAATTTTACACCACACTATAACCTTTCACCTTCAATTGCTTTTACGATGCAATGATATTATTGTGGTTCCTTTTTCCATCGAGAACTGGAAAAATATCAATTGGGAATGAAAAAGGTATTAATGAGGAAATTCAAACGCCTCCCTTTATCTATTTTGTATGTTCTTCTTCTCCCATTGTCTATCAAATTCAAATTTTCTTCTTTTCTCTTTTCCCCATTCACACACTCTCTAATCCTTTCTTCTTCCTTCTCTATTCTCTTTTCCCAATTGATCTTCTCTCTCTTCGTTTTCTTCTTTTCTCAATTCACATTCTCTCTTTGTGCATAAAACTATTAGATATGTAAATATAGAAAGATTATTATTAGTATTGATTACCAATGATTATTATAATCATAACCACATATTTGTACTGTGTATATAAATGACTATCACATGAATGAAAAGGCACGGCCTAAATTATCTTACATGGTATCAGTCTTGGTTTGTTCCAAACCCTAAAATCAACCGTAAACCTTCTTCCTTTCTATCCCTCATTCTTTTTCTCTTCAACTACTGCGAAACAGTCATGACTACCACTTCTGATTCCTCTAACAACAACTCTTCCCCGAAATCACCCGGTCATACCGACCCTCCTCCACCACCTACCACTCCTACACCGATTCACCCTGCTCTCACTGTCCCAAATATTACTAATTTCATCAAGATTACTCTAAGCATTGAAAAGGGCACGTATAACATGTGGTCAGAACTTTTCAAAATTCATGCTCGAGTTTTTCAAGTAATTGACCATATCAATCCATCTGAACCAGCCGCAGATCCCTCTCTCAAAACTACCGATCCACAGTTATGGCTTCGTCTCGACGCCGTCGTTTTGCAGTGGATATATGGAACAATCTCCGATGATCTTCTCAACACTATCATCGAACATAATTCCACCGCTGAAATCGCGTGGAATCGCTTATTCGACATCTTTTATGATAACAAGAATTCTAGGGCTCTCTACCTAGAGCAAGAATTTTCGCAAACTCATATGGAGCAATTCTCTGATGCTTCCTCCTACTGTCAGCATCTTAAATCTCTCTCTGATCAACTCGCTAATGTTGGTGCCCCTGTATCGAATGAACGTTTAGTTCTTCAACTCATTTCGGGACTAACCGATGCATATGCTACCGTGGGATCTCAAATTCGTCATGCTGATTCACTTCCTCAGTTCTATAAAGCTCGTTCCATGATCATTTTGGAAGAAACAGCACTGCAGAAAAAGGTGACAAGCTCAGTCGAAAATTCATCTTTCATGGCGTCTCACAATGACGCATCAGTTAATTCATCGGCATCCCGTCCTAACCGCGGTAACAACAGTAACCACAACCGTGGTGGCCGAAACAATGGCAGAGGACAGCGTGGACGAGGCCGAGGGCGAAACAATGGACGTGGCGGAGGTCGTGCTCCGCAACAGCAATGGCCTTCACCATATTACCCGCATCAGCAGTGGGCTTATCCGCCATACCCAAATCAATATCAACAATGGAGCTCCCCGCCATGGCAACCATGGGCTACACCACCTTGCCCTATCCAACAGCAAGAAATCCAAAGGAACAACCCGGCATCCTTGGTCCCAAGCCATCTCATCAAGCTTATGTCGCCAACATAGCGCCAACCTCCTCATATGCTCCAAATCAAGCTTATGTCGCCAACACAGCGCCAACCTCCTCATATGCTCCAACAGATATTCAAGCTGCCATGCATACTCTCTAACTTTCTACTCCTGATGATCAGTGGTACATGGACACCGGAGCAACCTCGCATATGACGGCCAACAGAGGTAATCTCTCGTCCTATTTCAATATGAGTAATAATATTACTGTCGATAGTGGTCAAAATATTCCTGTAATTGGTTGTGGACATGCATCATTACCAAATTCCCTTCATTTACTAAAATTACCTAATGTTTTACATGCACCAAACCTCATAAAAAATCTTATCTCTGTTCGTAAATTTACCATAGATAATGATGTGTCGGTTGAATTTGATCCTTTTGGTTTTTCTATGAAGGATTTTCAGACAGGAATACTGTTAATGAGATGTAACAATTCTGGTGACCTCTATCCCATTGCCACAAGACCACCTAATAAAACCTTACCACCATCCACCTTTGCCGCAATACCCACAGAATTATGGCACAACCGTTTAGGACATCCAGGAGCTACTATCTTAAGTTCTCTACACAAAGACAACTTTCTCCAATGTAATAAGTCTCGGAACAATTACTTTTGTAATTCATGCCCTCTTGGAAAACAAATAAAATTTCCCTTTTATAGCTCTATGTCTCGTACTTTTATGCCTTTTGATATTGTGCACAGCGACCTCTGGACTTCACCAATTCTTAGTTCAGAAGGTCATCGTTACTATGTGTTATTTCTTGACGATTACACAAATTTTTTATGGACTTTTCCAATTCATACAAAATCTCAGGTTCATTCCATTTTTCTTCAATTTAGAACTCACATTGAAACACAATTTGAAAGAAAAATTAAATGTTTCCAATGTGACAATGGTAAAGAATATGATAACACTATGTTTCATAATTTTTGTAAAAAAAATGGAATGTCTTTTAGATTTTCGTGTCCTCACACCTCCTCACAAAATGGAAAATCCGAAAGAAAAATTCGTACCATAAACAACATCATCCGTACCCTTCTCGCCCATGCCTCTTTACCTCCATCAATGTGGCATCATGCACTACACATGGCCACTTACCTACATAATATCCTTCCAAATAAAAAGCTTTCCCTTCAATCACCCCCTAAAATACTCTACCAAAAAGATCCGACCTATACTCACCTTCGTGTCTTTGGATGTCTTTGCTATCCTCTCATCCCTTCATCATATAGAAATAAGTTACAAGCTCGATCTACACCTTGTGTCTTCTT